TTCCCAGAAGAGAGAGGAAGCTGGGGTGGCACAGAATAACCTCCAGGTCCTGGCCATGCCTCTCCCAGTATGCAAAAATTAACCCTGTCCTGGTCAGAAGCAGGACAGAAGGGTACTAATCCCAGTCTTCTGCCACCACTAATAAATGACATGTCAATTACTTTCATAAAGCCATTAAAACCTCTCTGATTCAGGCTGGTTTTTTTTGTCACTATTTTTCATGGAGGCTCTTCCAGTAATTCACTGTGGCACACTCAGGAAAGACAAGAAGGAAAGAGAGGCAGGGAGGATGAGAAGGAGGGATGCCCAAGGTTTACAGGAGCAGGTGGGATATGTGGAGTTCTCCTGTGGGCCAGCTGTGGCCCTGGTGAGAGCATGTGAGTCAGAACCAAGCGAAGAGAAGGAATGGCAGCAGCATGGGGGGGACCACCATGGGGTCAGACTGGAGGAGGGGACTTACTTAAAACTTTAGAGGGAGTCTGGGGAGGACAAAGCCTGGTGTTCCTTGGGGCCATGAACCTCCCTGTCACTGCTGGAGGGGCAGCATGTCAGGACACATGCAGGAGTATGTTTCTGGATGGTGTCAGGGACAACTTCTTGATACAGGGCCTGGTTGGGCCATCCCATGGGATCACACTGATAGATCTGCTGTCCCTTTCAAGGAGACACCAGCAGGGGAGGTGGTGACCCATGGCAGCCTTAGCTATGGTGAGTGTGAAAGAGAGAAAATGAAGATCCTAAGGGGAATGAGGGAGGAGAATGGCAGAGCCTGAATGTAGGGCACCAAGTGAGCATCTTATCCAGGACGTAGGCAGCTGAGATCACACAAGAGGAGCTCTGAAGGGTTAAAGAGTAGAGGGGAACTGCCGTGACTATATGGACCACATGAGAATGGTTCATCCTGATACCTGGGAAAACAAGTGGGTGTAACAGCAGCCCTGCTCAGCTAAGCCAAGAACTCACGAGAAAATTCTGGAAAATGACCACAAAAAGAAGGCAGAAGCAGGGCCCTACAGAGGAGGGTTTTAGAAATACCAGCTTTTCAAGGGTGGGGTTAGGAAAGCCAAGCTCAGCTGGAACTGGAAGGGACATCAAGGGCAAGACAGAGATCTTCATCCTCTGTGTGAGCAGTAGAAGGCCAGACAAGGAGCTGTGTGCTCATTGCTCAGTGGAGAGAGTGATTTTGTGGCAGTGGACCGAGAGGAGATCAATGTCCCTAATGCCTTCTTTGCCTTTGTCTTCACCAACAAGTTCTTTCATCTTCTAATGCATTGCAGAGCCCAGTACAGGAAAGACTGAACAACTGAACGGAATGAAGCAACTGAACAAATTCAGCAGAAGCACCTGCCCTGCATGGGGAGAATCAGGCCTTATTCAGCCTTGAGCAGGGATGGCTTCAGGGGAGGTCCTACAGCAGCCATCCAGGACCCAGCAAGAGGTTATCAAGAAGGCAGAGACACCCACTTCCCAGTGGGGTTTATGGGAGAATGAGAGACAGTGGGTGTAAGCTGTAACAGGAGAAAATATGGGATAGAAGGAAATGCTACTCTGGGAATAGTCAAGGGCTGGAGCTGGTTGCCCACAGAGGCTGTGCATCCTTGAAGATTTTCAAGACCTGATGGCTTAAAGCCCTGAGCAACCTGGTTTGACCTCAAAGCTGACTCTGCAGCTTGGATTAGATGTCCTCCCATGGGTCCTTCCAGCTTGAATTGTTGTCTGTGATTCATTCCATGAATATTTTAAAACTACCTTGAACTTCTAGCTAAATTTATTTCTGATCTATTTGTGTCCTTGAGTTCTTCTGCTGTCTTAGGCTTGTCCTTTGCCTAAAATAAATTTTATTCTGCAATGTATCAACCGAGAACAATAACATTTGCTCTCGATTTTTGTTAAGCAGAACAAGCCAGACTCTTCTAATTCTGCTCACACCCCTCCTCCTCTCCCCGGAGTGACTGGAATAGAGTCCCTGCTCCTTTCTCATCCTAATATCCTCTCTATGCACCTGTTCTCATTTTAATTCCTCTTCTGGCATGTAGGTGATTACAGCATTGCAAGTACTGCACTAATCCAAATACAAGGTCAATGAAAAAATGTTCATATCCTGCACTAGGCACTCTTACTACTGAAAATATTTTGCAGGACAACACAATTCCATTATTTTTAACAACTGCATCCTGCCTGTACTAATTCGGTTGCTGTTTATAATTTCCTGATCCTGTTTTCTACATATGGAAGTACATAAATGCAGTCATATGCAAAATTATTGTGCCGTAGAAATTAATGTTAAGTTCTTCTACCATTAAAAAGGCTTTTGTGATATTTGCCATAAACAATTCTCTTACAAACAATTTTCGTTTCTCTTAGTTGGGCCATTTTTTTTCACACAGAGGTTGTTAAGTGTTCTAGACCTAGGTGTCTCTCAAATATTTATGCACAGAAGTCTTGTATTCTCTTAAATTACATCTATTGATTTTTTTTTCTGGTGAGTTTTGTTTCCCCCCAGCACATTACCCATTTGGATGATAATAAAAAATATTTCTTTACAATAAAATGTTTTCATATAGTTCTTAATTTTGTTTTTAGGATCCTGTAAAAGACCACTTAAATATTCTTTAAATCCCAGAGATCACAAGTACCTAGCAGGTGTGAAACATAAGTATATTGATCACAGCATACTTTATTATGCTGGTATTGCAAATGCTTTTTGAGATACTATGATCTCAATTTGGTTAAGGGAAGCTGTTGTCCTTCTGGGAAAGCAGCCTTCATTTAAGCAGTAATTAAGAACAAGTATTTCCCAAGTCATAGTTTCATCTTTTATTTCTCCCCAAATTCCTCCTTTGGGAAATTGTTTAAAGACAACCTAGAAGTGAATTCACGTAGTTTCTCAAGGAGAGTGGCTGTTGTATTCTGGTAATTTGCCATGCAGGAGATAAGTGGGGTTTTTGAGATAGCATTTTCTTGTTCATGGTTTACATACTGCTTTTCACATGAATTGGTTAGAGAGCAGTAAGACATCTGTAATTTACTAAATGTAACTTTGAGTTTGTGAGACTGTAACACAGAATGCTGGGCCCTGTGTAGTGTTCATTAGATAAATGTTTATGAATATACAAGGAGCTTTTAAGCACCAGTGCTTAAATTATTTCTATCTCCCTTCCAAGTGTAGTTACAGAGACCTCCTCTGTCTGGTGGTGGCACGTAAGCCTCTTATAAAAGGAAGGCATGCACTGATTTCAGTACCATCCTGTTGATTCATGAGAGGGAATTTTCCAGCCTCAGTACTCCATCTCCTGCACAAAATAAAAATTTTCAGCCACTGGATAAACTTGTTTTGAAACAGAAAATGGTTTATCTCTGTACTGGCTACAGGTGCCGAGGTGGGGCAGGTGGGGATGGGAGCTGCAGAGGTGACCTTTGTGAGGAGAGGCTGGGATTGCTGCATGCCAAACACAGTCTGTCCCAAACAGAGATTGCCCTGTGACCCTGGAGTTGTCCTGGTGGAGCAGGTACTTCCCTGTAAACTCTGGAGAGACCATGGTGCAGCCAACATCCACGCTGCAGCCCCTGGCAGACATATCTCAAAGGAACTATAGCCCATGGAGAGCCCACGCTGGAGCAGGCTTATACTGAAAGACTGAAATGCATGGAGAAGCCAAAGGCTGGAGCAGAGAAGTGTGAGGAGAAAGGAGCAGCAGACAGGAACAGTTATAGACTGATTGCAGACCCCCATTCCTCATCCCTCTGTGCTGCCCAGTGGGGAGAAGGTAGAAAAGTTGGGAGTGAAGGGTTGAAGCTGAGCCTGGGAAGAGGAGGGGTAGCTGGTCAGTGATGCCTTTGTCTGTCTTAACCCACAAGATTTTTCATGCTATATTCCCCCTCTCTTCCGTTGAGAAGGATAGAGAAGCTGGGTGGGGATCTGACAGCCACACAAGGTCAAGCCAACACCCCATCCCTGACCCAGTTCTCCTCAACCTCTTCATTCATGACTTGGACACAGGACTCAAAGGAACACTAAATATGTTTGCTGATGACACTAAATTGGGAGGAGATGTTGACCCCCTTGAGGGCAGGGAGACCCTGTAGAGAGACCTCAACAAATTAGAGAGATGGTCAATCATCAACATATGAAGTTCAACATGATCAAGTGCTGGATTCTGCACTTTAGATGGGGCAACCCTGCGTGTGTGTATAGAGCAAGGGAATGAGATGCTGGAAAGCAGTGCTGCGGAAAGGGCCCTGGGGGTCCTGGTCAGTGGCAAGATCCAAATCAGTATATTCTATGATTCTACAAAACTGTTTTGAGTAAGCTAGTGTTCTCAGAGTAATTTCAGTCTTACTTTTATATCTCAATCTTCAACAGGCTTATTATTAAGTTGAAAATTATTTCCATTTCCATTACTATTTGATTAAATCCTATTAGAATTTTTGTCATGAAACAGAAACAGGAGAAGCAAACTTCACAGCATTGATCTATCAGAATATTGGCTCATTTTTAATATGACGATTTGTTCCCTGGCAAAATTAAGGTTCTGTATTATTTATACTTCAGTTTCTATCAGGATTTATTATTCCAGGAGTTGCAATGCACATTTCTTCTTTTTTTTTAAACTTTTTTTTTATTTTTAAAAAGGGATGTTAATGACCTATAATTAGAATGGTACTAAAGATTCACACACTGCTAATTCCAGCAGCGCTGCTGAGAAGACAACGTCACTTCTGTGCACAGGCACAGCACCAGCCCTCTGCAGATCTTAAGAGACTTGAGAGGCAGCACAAGACTCTCCCCCTGTCTGTATCATACTTGTGTCTGATATCTTGCATGGACATCTGGGAGAGCTAAAAGAAAAGAATTCCCATCTTCCTTTAGGTTTTGTAGAACACCCACTGGACTTCTTGCTTAAATGCAAAGGGCATTATATCTTTCACTTATTTTCACACACCTGAACTGGGCTACAAACCACAGCAAAATAAAGACAGAAAAGGAAAAATATTTGACTTGTGTCAACATTCTTATTCTTTTTGGAAGAATGTTGTCCAGTTTAATCCTCATGAAAGTGGAAAAAAATAACAGTAGTGGATTAAAGCCAGAGTTTAAGAAAATACATTTAAATATATCTTTTTACTTAAAAATGAGTTTCCTCATCATTCAAAGACCTAAGAGTTAAGCTATGTTACATACACCTCAGGTACAAATTGAGAAAAGGTTCAATAAATCAGACTATATAAAAACCAAGAGACTTTTTCCCCCAGAAAAATGTATTTGTGTTTTATCTGATCATATAAAAACCATTAAATTTAAAAAAAAAGAAGTGTATATATTTTTTCAAGTGTTAATGGTTTTACCATTCATCATAACTACATTCCGCATCCTGTAACACCAGGGCACATTATCCTTATCTGTGTAGCACAGTGAGCACAATCTTTACACTGAGGTCACTCTCATTACCACTTCCCCAGAGCAGTTATCCTCTGATGAATCCTCCTGAGGTCTCATGCGGTTGAACAGGTGTAACAACACATAGCCACACTGAAATCTCGGTGAGGTTAACTGTGTTGGATGAACCAAACTTCTGTTTCTAAATGCAGTCAGTGGCAGCCACAATGTCCTCCCTGCTGAGGATTCTCCTCGATTGCTCTCTTCTATGTCTGTGGCTTTATCATAATTTAGCACATCCCAGTGTAGATTCACAGCTCTCCAGCGCTTAAACACTCGATAAACAGATGCACCTTCATGGACTATCAGTCCTGAAAGTAAGAGGGAAAAAAGAGCGCTTATACAAAATGTCAATGCATACCATTTTGAGAGCAAATTGAGATTTAACACATTTTAACGACTCTGGCAATTTCCAGATTAAATTAAATTACTCATAACATTAATAATTCAAACAAACTGTACATATGCAATTTAACTGGTTATTCATTTGTTTGGGAGGCAGGAGCATGCAGAGGAAATAAAGTTGTTCTGAATGAAAGCTCAGCATAACCAATACTGGAATAATCTGAGCATGCCGAACTAAACAAATTATTCAGATTTAAGTAAACCAATGCAAAACTGGCAGATTTGGATATTGACTGTTTATGCTAGTGCTGCCCTTGTTCATGGTGAGTACTATTTATTTACTGACATTTGTACTGGTTTAAATAGACCTTTAAGTAGGTTACACCTTCTCCAATTAACAGGCTAGTCCTAAATTTGTTTAAGAGTGTTTTGTAGAATCCAGTACAGATATTGACAAATTTAACTGCTTTCATATTCCCAGTTCAACTTAGGAGCACAGAAGATTTATGAAACAGCTGTAAATATAATCACCTTCCTGTCTTGTTCTTTAGAACAAGAAGAAATTAAATGTTATTATTAACTACAATGAGCATGGTAAGGATGATAAACTTTCTTCTTTCTCTTCAGTACTCAATAGAAAAAAGTTGCAAATCATCTTTTTCTTGAGACCCAAAAATTTTTTAAAAGATCCTACAAGGAAAATACAGAATTTCTGTAGTCCTCAAGAGACCAATCTGCTTATGAATTTCCATGTAGCTAATATTTATGCCTGTTGTATGCATTCAAGCAACTTATTTAAAGAAATGAAGCTTCTAACTTTTTGTATGCATGTATATGTTTATACTCACACTCTTTATATGTGAGTATTTCAAATATGGATCTACTGGGGAGACACATGGGGCTTCTGCCTTCCTACTAGTTTTCTCCTCAGCCAGCCTGGTTGAGGACACTTACATGGTTCTGAGCAACACCACCTGTTCTCTCTGGCTCCCTGCTTTGGGAAGAGAGCAATCTGCCTAGCCAAAAATATTTATAAATCTTTTGTCCAGTGTGCTCCTTGCCTAAAATTTTCCTATACATGGCCACATCTGTAATATGATCTGTGATGTCCTTTAGCCAAAGAGATTGTAGATCACCTGTTTCTACACAAGAGAATTGTGATTTAAGTGTCTGAGGTCCTTTTGCACAATTAACTGATACCAGAAAGGAGATGCTCACAGAAAGATGACACAAGCTGAAAGGGTGGTAAAAATATTTACACGAACAGCAAACCTCACATTCAAGTGCAATGATTTGCAGACAGCAACGCCTACTCTAACATATTTTTAAAGATCATTACACTGAAAGATGGAGAAACACAAAGATTTCTTTCAGAAGGACATGATAGTGAATGCAGCATCTCTGTAAGGCTTTCAAGTTGCCTAGAATTCATTGAAGCATCCAATACAGCAAAATTAGCACAAAACAAACTTAATTAAATAGTAAATATTCGAAATGTATTTTGTAACAGCAAAGCATTTTAGTGGAATATTTTTCTTGATTGCAAGATTTCTATTTTTATCTTCTCAGACATAGATAAAGTAACCTGTCTTTAACATTTATCATAATAATTTAGTCAACACATAAATGTGTCTTCAAGACTGGCTTGATTGTACAAAAAAGAATTAATGTATTTGATCCCATACAGAATCTACAAACCGAATTAGCCATGGTTTTACTGTGGTGACAAAGATTAATCCTTTTGTGTTCTTTTGGATTTCCTATAAAGTTGATAAAGGAGATGAGAATAATCTTCCTCAACCTGTTCCTGGAACACAGCATCATTTGGTCCAACTTCTCTCAAGTCTGTGATTAAAGAACCTATTAAAAGTTAAAAGAACCTATTTACTCCAAAGTAAAGACGCATGTCTGCATTCCATTAGAACCTGAACAACATATTTCAGAAAAGAGAAGGAAGTATTCGAGAAAGGATCATTGAGATTCATGAAGTACATTTAAACAGTCAAAATATCTTTCCAAAATTACAACAGAAGAAGTTGTAGGATGACTTCTTTCAGGGAGCTCTTTTTTACTGTCTTGGGGCTTTCAGGATTTATTGAAATTATGTTTCCAAAGTTTTTAAACATTGGCAAGGATGAGAAATTTCCTTTATAGTGGAAGCTGTCAGTCACATATACTTTAAAAGAGCTACAAAACAAAGGATCAAATATTGCAAGTCTTGGCATAAAGTTGTCAGATTTGGCAGTGTTGAAGGAGAAAAGCAGTACTTTCATAATTCCTTTTGTAAAAAGTTTTAGCTCCCTTCTTGATAGAGCTATATATTAAAAATACCTACATAGATGAGGCAAAAGAGCTGGGGGGAGTTGGCATGTGAAGTTCTTGGCACCAGCAGTTCTAAGACCACAAACAACAGGACCTCCAGGTATGTTTTAAATGCTAGAGATTTTCCAGGTCCAGAGGAGTTCTGAATATAAGTTCAAAATATAAGTATTTAGTCACTGAAGTGGAACTGTAAGAAAATGGCAAATAATTGCCTTTCCCTTAAGGATTTCACAGCAATGAAGGTAGCTATGAGAAAGAAAACAAGAATAAATCCCTGAAGAATTCTGATTTCTTCCAAACACCATGATTTCAACAGCACAGAGGACACAGCTGAACACTTGTAGGGGAAAAATATTTGTTTGACTCAGATGATCCCAAGAAATATTACAATTCACTGCTGTTAGCTGTTTGGATGTTCCGTCCAATTAATATCTACAAGGAACAGAGTTTTTGGATGATGGACCCATCTAAATGTCCTATGGTCCTAAGAAGTCTTTCCCTTTAGGCTTTATCTCTAAGATGGAGGGATTGCAGTGGGATCCAGCTAATAGGATTATGAAGAATCTTAATTTTATTTTCTTTTTTCATATTTTTGCCAAATACTATTCTATTCTTTCATTGTCTTCAAAGGTTTTCTTATCCTGACTCACCAGATACTTGAAATTTTTCACAATTGAATGTCTTTACAAGCAGTCAACTTGTCTTATTCATATTTGGTGGTATTAGGTTACAACTTCATCTTATTTATCACACTGATCTACATATACACATTTAGGAATGGTCCTCCCAGTAATATCACAAGATTTTATCCAGGGAAAAAAGATCCTTTTCAGAAACAGACTTTACCTCTGGACAAAATGTCATGTCTTAAAACTATTCTAGAGCCCACAAATATTAAAAAAAGCAATCAATTGCTCACAGCATTAAAGTGAAATATATCCATGCTAAAAATAGTAATAATAAAAAAAATATAATTCTTTATAAACTATTTGGAATTAGATCCCGTGTGGGAGAAATAAAGACTTTCTGAGTGAAGACATATAAAGTGCAGCTAGATGTATTCATTGTAAGCAACTTTAGCCTGTTCCTTTTTACAACAAAGGAGTCACAGAAATGTTGCAAGGCATCAAGTTACTTAGAAGGGAAGAAAGAGGCTTTCAGAGGGCAATTCACACCTTGCACTGGCTCCCATCTCTTCCTCCCTTGCCACAGCACTACTGGCACCAGTCATGTATCTAGTGCAATGCAACAACTTCTCTTCACTGCTGGAAAAGGAACAGCAATATTGTTCTGGGATTGCAAGTCAGCTGCTATTATTTGTGAGAGGTTTTGCTCATGTTAGAACCATTTATGATCATTAGTTATAACTATTTTCTAGTGGGAAAAAAACCCAATTCTACTACTTTTCTGTTATGCAAAATAATTGCTAGGTTTAGAAAGTAGAATGGCAAAGGCTTGATATACTGTATTTCAGTGGGTAGATAAGGGATTTATACTATTCATTCCTTTTATGAACTCACTACCTTTGGTAATCCCTACATAGATGGTCTGATCCTAGCACTATCACTGGAATAGCTCTGGGTTTAACAGGCTGTGGTTCTGATGATCAGGGTGTTCAAGGTTTGCTTTGGAAAACTTCAACCAATAGCAAATTTCAAAGAGAACAGCTTTACACTCAGCTTTGATGCAGGAAGGTATAAGGCAATGACTTGTAGGGTTAAAGCCAACACTGATAAATAAAAACAATCCTATTTCTCAAGAATAGATCTGTGAAAATTCAGACTAGAAGAAAGAGAAGAGTGGATACCAATAAAACATGTACACTAGAATGAACAGAACATATTATTCTGGTGATCTATAATCTTCAGGGTTTTTCTTTTGTTGAAATGTAAAAACAAAGAAGTAAAATACAAGTTGGGTGTAATTTACTTAATAAGAAAGTGACTGGTGTGCTACATGTCATATAAAAGTCAATCATTGAGTAAATGAATTGTTGTGTGCACATTTTCAAATATATAAAAATATGTCAGTACCTTTTGGCCAACTGCTTTTAAAAATTATAGCAAAACATTTCAAAAAATGCTTCCCACTTTCTGTGTGAAGATATCTACACTTCACAAACAACCAAAAAGTATTTGTATTGTTTCTGCAAAGGTGTAGGGAGATATGACTGAAAGCAGGTGGAATAAATCTTGGTCATACCACCAGTATCTCAAGCATTATCTTGAAATATGTGGTGCACAGGAAAACCTGTATGTCTGCATAAATTTTTCAGTGAAATAAAGAGAGATTACAGTGGGAGCAGAGGTATTCGCTCACTGTAAATCCTGTTCAAAACTAGGACAATGCCATGGATGGCTAAACACAAATGAAAGGAGAGGAGATCCTGAGACCTGTAGCTGGTTGGAAGCATTACAAGCTTCATGATGTAAGAGATTATACATAATAATGGTAAAATAACTTAATGCCTCGAGAAGTCATCAGCATAATGGAAAGTATTTTGGGTTGTAAAAACAATTTATAAGTAATACTTACATATATCTATTAGGGAATTTTATCAAAAATTATAAATTAAAATTATCAATCCAAACCACTCACTTTATCATGAAAGAAAAAGATGAAATTGAATAAGGTTGACTATATTGATGAATACCTTTAAGAGTTACAAGAAGTCCTGATCTTACAAGCTAACAGAATGCAAATTACTTGAGAGTATATGCAGAATAAGTGCATCTGAATGAATCAGAATTATCAAAATTCATCAATTACAAAACCTCCTTCATACAGATTTCTGAATTTCCAGATACAGTCTAGTAAATTCCTAAGTCATATATGCAGTGAATTTTGTAACTACAATGCAGTGTCCAAATATATTTAAATTTTCATGTATTATTTATGACAGTTCTATAAAATATGAATTTATTAAATGACAGGCAAGTCAGTTTATCTGTGTGTTTGCTTAGCTCCTGCAGGGTGTGGTTAAGCCAGAAGCTCCATGTGAGGTACACATTCACTCAGCAGCTTCCACTTCAGTGGTGGCTTGAGCCTAGCTGGTTTGAAAGGCAGATAAAGGATGCACCAGTCTATGGAAGGTCATCTTCCAAATATTTACTTCTATGCATAAATACATAATATTTCTGATCACCCACAGACATTCTTGGCTGATTTTGACTTTAATCTGGTTTAGGTGTTTTAGCAGTAAAACAAATGGGAAAAATGAAAATAATTTGAAGTAACTGGTTATTTCAACTAGCTGATGCATTCCAAAGTATTTTTTTTTTTCACTGGGGAAAAAAACCCAAACAAACCAGAATTCCATATAAATGGAATTCTTGGAATGCCTGAAGCATTTTATCTTTCTTTAGTCTATTTTTAAACAAAAGCAAAGCCCTCAGTATTGAGGATTAAGCTGTAACAGGTGATGTTCAGAAATCAGCATCTAAGAGGACATGTAGCTGAGTCCTTTTATTCATTTAAAAGATGTGCACTTGTCCAAAGTATGAGATTCTGCTCACTTTTCTGTCCAAGATTTGGGTTCATAGAAGAAAGCCTGTGATATAAAATATTCCAGAGCAGGCATCTCTAACAAAAATTACAAAATGAACAGAACTGCTGATGTAGCTGAAACATAAATACTTTTACAGTAATGGGATGGTTTCAATCAAAGATGATGTGGCTTTACAGTTGAAGTAAAACCCTTGATATTAGGAATCACTCTGTTTCTTTGTTCCTTACAAAGCAGAATTCAGCACTGTTCTAATTCCCATATATAAGATTCAGATAACATTTATCTCTCATAAATATCAATGCAAACATCAGATGCCATTTGACTTCTGGATTTTCTTGCAATTAAAATTCTGTGAATGTGGTTTAATGTAAATAATTATTATTAATTATGTAATTTTATTTCTCTAAATTGTATAATTATGTAATATTTAATGTAAATTTTCTCTCCAAATAATCATAAATATTCTATCAAATCAGGTTGTTTTACCAAATACTAAAAGGGATTTCTATTTAAATATTCCTGGGTCCAGTGTATTTTCAGAAATTTCAAAAGTGGTCAATACAGTGTTGCAGTGAAATGTATTTTCTTTTACAAGATTTCAGTTAAGTGACTTGGGGCTTTTTAATAGTAAAGCAAGTTAGCACTTGCTGTGTGTTTCATAATTGTTTATGATGTGCAAAGAACTCATGCCTGCCTTCTCTGTTCACCTCCATTTCTAGCACAGTGACCTATATAATCTGTGCAACCTAATTTTGGGTGTGCAGTTTGATGACATCTTCAAGGGCTTCTTCTGTGCTTCATGATGACACAATTCAATTCAAACTGGTATCAGATGACAGTGTGTAATTTTACTAATTATTTTAATAATGTCTTTCATATTTTCATCTAACTCCCTGAACTTTGCTAGTCATTTTATCAAGAAATTTAAACTGATCCTGTTCTCACCACTAAGATTTTGTGAATCCACTCATGAATCTGAGAGTAAAGCTTCGTTGATTCTTTTCTCTCTGCAATATTTGCAACACTGTAAAAAGCAGCACTTGCCAAAGGTATCAGCTGAGAATAAATCTGCAAAGAACTGGAGTGATCAATTAGAGTGACCAATTAGAAAAATAGAAATAGTCACAGTCTTAAACCACAGTCTGTGCTGTTTAAAGATTTGAGCTTACCTATGCATACTAGATCCATAAAACCATACATTCCATAGCAGATTTGAAAAAGGATGTCCTTTCTTTGCCATACTGCATAAGGGCTGAAGGCTGACCATAGAAGCCAAGTCACACTTGCTACTAAGAACAGAGATCCTAGGATTACAGCAACCATCTGCACTTTCTCAACCAGTGTTATAGTAATGCTTTGCCACTAAAAGAGAAACAAAGTTGTATAAGATAAAAATGTTATTGTCCATGGTTGCACATTCAACTCCATCTTTTTTCCTGAAATCAGAAATTATTTTAATATGTACACATATCTTCATAGATATTTACTAATATCCTTGATACTGACATTTTATATATCTTTTTTTTCTATTTCGCTTTTAAAGTGAAGCTAATAGGTGCTTCCCCATTTCCTTCAGTGTCCCTATCAATACGATCTAGTTGTAAACTTCTGAAGAGTTAATAGTGTTACTCCTGTTTTGAGTATGTAGGTAAAAAAAAATTAAGTCTTAGGAATGGAACTCTGTCTTTCATCTCTGAAGGGCAATGAACAGAACTAAAAAGGAAGAAGACATTTTCAAATATGTGTTATGCTATTGTGACAGGTTTCCTTTCCAACCCTCCCTCCTGGAGTGTGAAGCCATTTTTCACTTTCAGGCTTCTCATCAAAGAAGTTCCAGACATACCAAAGGAGTTGTCTTTCTCTGCATAAACCAGTGTTAACAGCACAAAAAGACTCCTGCAACCTAGTGTAGAAGCGACATGAAAACTCAAGAGGAGCCCTGAATATAGATAGCACAAACATTTCTTTTCAGTGCACCCCAATTATGTCCATCTTTCCAGGCAAGGCTGTATCTTCCATATGTGACATGACTCTGGTTTATGGCGTTACAAGATTTAGATATAAAAGAGTGTGCATACTGACTTCTGTCAAGATAAGAGAAATACAATTCCATTATAAGAGTCACAAAAACAAATCACAGCATAAGGAACTAATTGTTCTAGATTACCCTTAACATACATGGCTTTTCTTGGACATAATTATGTAAACTACTTTGGCAGACTCCCCACTCCAGGCCCATCACTCCTTCCTGGGCTGGTGTCAAGATTTTGTAGACAGCTTTCTTTCCTGCTCCTAATTTTGGATGTACCTGCCCCCTATTGCAATAAGGGTTTTCTTGCCTCTTTTCCCATCTGGCAATAATTTTTCCTTTTTCCTATTACTTTACTAAAGCCTTCTCTTTTTTACAGCTGTTGGGTACCCAGTACCACATAATCATAGCATAAAACAATAATTCAGGTTGCAATGGGCTGTGGGAGCCCTCTAGTTCAACCTCCTGCTCAAAACATGATAAGGCAATGAGATCAGACCAGGTAGCTCAGGGGTTTATTCTGTAATACCTTGAAAATTTCCAGGTATGGAGGCTGTTCAGCCTCTCTGTGCAACTTGCTCCATTTCTTGACTGTACTCGGGTTGAAAAAAGATTTTCTTCAAACACATTTTTTCTTATATTCATTGTGATGCTCTTTTGTCCCACTTACACTCTTCCTCCCATCAAGTACCACCGTGAAGAGCCTGGGTGAGCAATTGGTCCTCCGTCCCTTTCATCTCTTTCAGCTTTTCCCATTAACTTTTCTACTGTAGCCTAATATGCACAATTGGTGCTGCATTCCTTCTTTTCTTGCAACCTTCTGAATATAACAGTACAAAGAGATAGATATATAACAATTTGTACATTGTCTATCTTGAAATACTATCCTTTTATAATGAACTCATGAAATGCATACGAGCTTTTTCATGGAACTTGAAGGTTTGGAATGGGGCTATTCATGCTAAATACTACCTTTTTATGTCAAACAACAATGGATACCAATTTCCTTAGTTAAGTGTCTTTATAAAGGTCAAAGAAGGCCATTAACAAGCGATGCATGACAGAATGGTGTGAGCTTTCCATGACTCAGTATACAGGATTGGAAGTTCAGGACTGAAATTCACTGAACATTCATTAGACTCCACAGGGTAATGTTAAACAAAATTATTTTTCATTTCTCAGCTGAAGCTACATAGTGTGACTTGGCAGAAATCTGTCAAAAAATGCTGCTGGTTATCGTTTATCGTCTTTCTTTATCAGTGTGAGACAGAACTGTATTAAATTTCTTTGGAATGCCTGAAATCAAAGTCCATTTACATGAAAAAAAAGCTTTAACTGTCACAAAGTATCACACTGTCGAATTCACAGAAGAAGCTGGCAATAACTGAAAATACTTATATAAATGAAATAAACAGCAGATCTGTCACAGTGCGATTTAAGTAATGCAGAAGTTCGTAAACTCACTTCAGTTTATTTTGATTTTCTTTTTTTTTTTTTTTTTAAATTTAGATTGCTCATAGTTAGTCTGCAAAAAAGAGTAATGAACAAAAGAAAAAGAAATCCAAACATTTGGGATAAATAACGTAGCATGCAGTCTGGATATCTTATCCCCTGTTCTGGTGTTGCCTGAAAAGCAGTGTCTCTTCCTCAGTGTCAACCGCTCCTACTACCCATGTCACGGGGGCTTTTTGTTGGCTTGTTGTTGGGTTTTCCCAATTCTTTATTCTAGAAAACCCTGACCTTGAAAAGTTCTAAGAAACATAGATATGATCCTCACCTCTTCCTAGCCTCTTCTAAAGAATGTATTCTCATTATTTTACTCTTCTCTTGATCTGTCAAGAATGCAAGCAATTGAATCACTCAACCTCAATAAAGTCAGTAATTCCAAAGATTCAGCATATTAGCACGCTATCAAATTACTACAATTACTGAGAAAAAACCACAAGCATTCCAGAGGTTGTTGTTCCTAACTCTTCTGCCTTTAAAAATCAAAGAACAGTTCCAAGAAAACCCCCAAATCAACAAACCAAAAACTCCATCAAAATAATAAAAAATAAGAACCCAAAAATAGGATTGGATATTTTTTCTATTACCCAACTACTTTAACCTTTGTGGTATTCACTGTCTTTGTTCTATGAAAGAAATTTTAGTCCTCCACCTTTTTCAGTATGAAGGTCAGCAATAATCAAGAAATTCAAAAATTTTATGAAATTTTCCTCCTTATTACTGTAATCTGTAAATTAAGCTAATTGATGATCTTTCATAGTAGATGGGTGAGGAAGGACTGTGTGTGTAAGACGGAAGACATTTTAGCGGACTAGAAAATTTACGTGAAACCAATAATTTGCCTCCTTGTGGTTGGCATCCAGCACCCCAGTAGTGATGGGGTGGGATGGATTTCTGTTCAGCTCTAACATGTGATGAGCTTGGGGACCTTATCTTCTGTCTATGTTAGTCCTTAGTGCTAATGGCAAGAAGACTGTGGATGTTCCTGATGGTTACTTTACCCCAACTGAAGTTTCCTCCTCCTTGCCACTCTCCAAAATGTTTGGATTTGTAACAATCTGAGATTGTCCCTTGGGAAATGAGTGTCTTGATTTTTTTCCCCATAAATTTGACTGAGTTTGAGTAGAAATTATAAAAAAGTGAGCAGATATTACTGGGACAGGTATATTTCTCACATAGTGAAGGTGGTATTCTGTAGTTATGATGTTAGTCACATGTTGAGAGGCTTGGACTGTTCAGTCCTTTCTCAAACATGGCCAGCATTAGCCATTGGACAGCGAGATGAACAGCACAGGACTCTATTCTTTGGTTGCTTTGCATTTCATTACAAGGCTTGTGAAGAGGAACTAGAGTTGTGGTCACACCATTTGTTTGTGCCTGAAGTCTCACTCAGAGCATGGCTAGCACGTGTAAGAATACAACTGAAAGAAACCCAGGAAAAGAAAGCTCCTTCTGAGAGTAAGATTCTTATTAAAACATCAAAGTCAGTTAAACTTTCTTTGACTTCTCACAGTCATTTTCCATATTGTATTCACTGTTATGTTATAATCACTTCACCTTTTAATGTCAAATTAATGGCTTATGAGGTCACAAAATAATAAAAATTATGCAGTGATAGTATGTTGAGAAATTGCATTCAGAATATAACAAACTGAATTATTTAACATTGTAAATTGAATGATCACATTATTAGTGTGCCATGATTTAAATCCATTAGTTCCACTAGTGTTTTTCTCATTTTCTTCATATAACTTGCTTCTAAAATTTTAATCATCCATGATTATACATAATATTATGACTTTCTAATTTGTTTTTGCTATTTGCTGACTATGCATTCCACAGTCAGTAACAGTTATTTTAGCTAAATATTTTGCCAAGTTAGGAAAGATCTAGACAGGATTTTTGTGTCAGCTTCTGTAGATGACCCTAAAAAATAAATATTATGAAAAATATTGTCATTTTTGCTCATAACTAGAAATGGAAAGAAAATGTGAAATATTTTGTATCTTGATAGCTATAATAATGCTATGGGTTTCAGATACAATAATTTTAAAAACCTCATTTGAATTTCTATGAAAATTCCATTTCATATTCTTTTCCTTAATTTCTGTAGCATTACGATGTACCATGCCATCTCAGTTGCCCATGAAAAAAAAAGCGTTTTATTTTAATTTACAATGATGGCAATGAAAATGGTGTTTTAAGCAAAATATAATTAATGCTTCTGATTTTAATGTAATACTATCTGCCCTTGAAAACTTTTTAGACTTTTACTTCTACTGACACTTCATTATGTTTGGTTCTTTTAAACTTTTATTTACCACTGGTGTTCCCCTGATAAACCATTTGGGAGTATAATATGTTACTTGCACTCTAGAGTTCAAATTCTGACCCCAGAAATATTGCTCCTCTTTTCTTCTGAGGTTTCTGTCAAACAAAAATACAAATATAAGGAAATTATTCCTTATTTTTGAGGTTGAGACTTTCAGAAGTTGAAGGAAATGTATTGCTTTGATGGAATAATTGTTAAAGTTAATACAGTTATGTGCATGTCCTTACTAACATAAAGGTGGATAAAATATTCAAAGGTCTGGCATCTTTGAGATGAATCAATATTAACTTGGCTTTGTTTTAATAATGTCTTGTAGAAGCCCATTGATTATTGTATAATACATGACAGAAAAGTGATCTCAAAAGAATTGATACTGTGTTTGTACTTAGAATACTTTGCCTTAAAAAGTCTGCAAAGAAACGACAGGTTTTCCTACATCCTCAATAAAAAACATATGAAATTTCCTTATGGCTACCCAAGCGTGTATCAGCTTCA